CTCTCTCAACACATGGCTCAAAGTGCCTCCGAAGTTGGTTGTGATTATCAGGAACGTCATCAAGATGCTACATAGTGCATCTCTCATGTTAGTCTTCTCCCACTCATTCCGGCCAATTCCCTTGCTATCCTTCTTTCTCTCTTACACCCTGACGTGTGTCATTCAACGGCCTAACAATGCCCAGGCTCGATGATGTCGAAGACGGCTCGCCCCTTCGTCGAGGTAAACCCTCTACTCACAATGTCTATGGCACCGCCCAGACAATCAACAGCGCAACGTACCAATATACCCAAGCGACAAGAACGGTGGCCGAGCTAAGCAGCCCATCATGCCTTCGCATCTTCCTCGAAGAGATGCAAGAGCTGTATGTGGGGCAGAGCTACGACCTCTACTGGACGCATAACGCACTATGCCCATCCATCTCAGAATATCTGAAAATGGTCGATAAGAAGACGGGGGGGCTGTTTCGCATGCTGACACGGTTGATGGTGGCCGAAAGTCCGGTCCGCGAGAAGGTTGCGGATGACGGCCTGAACCTGTTGAGCTGCCTCATTGGGCGCTTCTTCCAAATCCGCGACGACTACCAGAACCTTGCTTCGGCCGACTATGCCAAGCAGAAGGGTTTCGCCGAAGACCTCGATGAAGGAAAGTACTCCTTCACACTGATCCACTGCATCCAGACTCTGGAGGCAGAGCCCAAGTTCGAGGGTGACGCGATGCAGTTGCGGGCCTTCCTCATGAAAAGGAGGTCCGAAGAGAAACTCAGCAATGAGGCCAAGCGGGAGGTGTTAGCAACCATGAAAAAGACAGGAAGCCTAGATTACACTCTCGGCGTTCTGAGGGCACTACATGGCGAGTTGGAAAAGGAAGTAGGAAACTTGGAAGAGAAGTTTGGTAAAGAGAATTTTTCATTGAGGTTGTTGCTAGAGATGCTGAAGGTGTAGAATATCTGCTGGATGAAGCAGAGATAGAAAGATGACTGTGGATAATTGATACTTCTCAAGAGGTGGGATGTTAGGTATAGTACAGATCACCGAAATGTGGATTGGCCAGTATTCAATTGAGTAGTTCGATGAGGTATAGGCGATTGAAGTCGTTTTCAGAGAAGATGACTCTCAAGTTTCGTGGAACACTGGACCTGGATGGTCCCTGGCGGCCGGTGAAGCAAGGCGGCATAGATCTCTTTCCATGTGCAATCAGTGGCAGCAAGATACCGAGGGATGGAAGCGGCTTCATGCTTTATAAATATCCTTAGCAAATTTCAAACTTGCGTCATGTTCCTGAGTAATAACAAAAGAAAATATTCCCTGTCAGTTTTGGCCGCAACATCAAAACAGTCACAAAAACTACTGACCTAAAATGTCGTAATCTTAGCCCGGTAGGTCAGTTATGCCACTGACTGAAGGCAATCGAGTTGTCGAGCGGTCAACTTCCACCATCCTCGATTCTTCGGCCTCAGGTCTGGCAAACATCCCTGCAGATGGGAGAAGACTGACCTTCTCCGACAGAGTAAATGGGAGATGATTTGTCGAGATTCTCAAATGACACGTCGAGCGATGGTTAACTTTGGGCTTTCCTCGTAAATGGGTGAGTCGCACTTTCTCCCTCTTCGCGTATTCTCGATTCATACTACACATTGACTAGCCATGCTCTCTTTTATGGCTTTGACTGGTGAGCTCCACGTGCTGTACAGTCAAGGAGAGACCAGAGAGGTCATAAGGATGCAGTAAATCTCGGCAGAAGTGTGGCTAATGAAAAATGCCACCTAATAAAGGGTCTGTTTTAACTCCATATGGAGCATGTCCAAAAAGACTGCCTGGATCTCATCATCTCACCTCGTATCCTCGTAGATGAAGAAAGTGCCCACCTCCCAACTCCAAACTCAGTCTTATTAGACCTAAGGAATATTAAGCATCGCGTATAATTTTATGTCATTTTTCGAGGGTTGCCCGCCTGAGCTACTCTCATGTACAGCCAAATTGGAATAGGCTTAAATGCCTTAGCTTGTACAGTGTGCAAGATAAGGAAAGAGGATAAACCCAATAGTAGGACCAAGAACGGAGCAGCAACAAATATTGATATGCTAAAGTTTACCACGATCTGAAGCAGGGGAAATATCCGCAATAAATTCGCTGGCATTTGTCAAAGGAGACTATTCGAATGCACCTGCAAAGAATCGGAGGAGGAAGAGTATTTGGCATTTCTGTGAGCCCGCACCCCCAGCATTGAAGGCTGTGAGCATGGCATAGTTTCCAAAGAAGAGGACCTGTCGCCCATGTATCTCTCGACATGGGAGCCCACAGTAAAACCATGATTGTCGTAGCGACCTCATTATAGCCTTACGGGACTTTCTAGGAAACCCAAGTTTGAAGAATCACCTCCTAAACGCAATAGGTAAGCTTAGCCCCTACTTTTCTGTCTCTTGTGGGCTTGTCTGTGCTACAAGGGATAGGACATGCGGCATCTTTCATAACATCCAAGTAGAGCCGTATAAGATCGACCAAGTCTTCCGCTACCACGGATTATCTGCTCGAGCAAGAGTGCCTGATATCTGTGCAATCTCTTCTTTCGCCTTCATAACAGCTTTCAAGTGCCCCAACCTACGAGCGTTTAGTTCGAATTGCAGTCTCATCTATTGATCAGAGGTTTTGGCTTTAGGAGGCATTGTCACGGCAGACAAGTAGGTCATTTAGATCTTAATGCTTATTGAATCACAAATTAATATTTTCAGGCTTGGAGGCATTCGGGAAAGGCACATTCTCCTTGGGCCAAAGACGTAGGCTATCTGATTTTCATCACGGATGATAGAAATCCCCTTCACTTCAGAATGTATGTCGGACAAACGGCACGCAGTAAGCGACGTCTGACCATGGAGCATGGACACGCCTTCCGAATTGGCAAGAAAATAGCCTTGCTGTACTGGATTAGCTCCAGGGGCGACGGTGAGAGGTGTGCAAACTCTATCAGACTCTGGGAGATGTCTCGCAACATTCCAAAGGGCCAATAGCAGGATATCATTATAAAATGCTCTGGAGATGGTTTTCTGCGAAGCATTTGAATCTCTTCCTTCGGCTTCCCAAAAATTGTTCTACAGCGCCTCACGACCGTCGAATAGAGGATTTGGGCTGAATGTCATGCCGCCCTTGCTCCAAGTACTGCGCTTAAATCCAGCACAAAAAACAGTCTGGAATATTCCGGTAAGTAGTTCGACTGATCCGAAGATTCGCTTGTAGATAGAGGTGAAAGACAATGAGTCCAAGGGAGGAGAGTGGTGCGAGTTGATAAGTCGTGAAGACTATGCGAAAGCTGTGGTACGAGCTGGTCCCGAAGATATAGCAGCGAAATGGGTAGCATCTACTCACTCTATAGTTGTCCCATCTGACAGAAGAACATTTGATTCGTCGATGCTCAGAGTCATGAAAATCTCAGAGTCTGTACGACCAACACGCTCGTTCTCTGCAAAGATACGTTTTGTATCCGGTTACTTGAGCATAGAAGATGCTAGATCAGAGACTCAGAGCCTAGCCTAGGGCCGTGGACTACCATGCAGTCTTCGGGACATGGGGTTTAATGAACTCAACTCACTCTCATGGACTTTCGACTTTGCCCCACGGCGACTGCCAAGAGGCATCTACCTTTACAACGGAGAAAGATAACCTCTTAGCCGAGACAATTACCTCAACGCATCAAATACTTCTAGAAACAACCAACCTGAAACTCGTCTTCTTACTGGGTCCAGATGCTGAACTCTACGCTCTTGGACCAGCAAAGAATCTAATCAAGTCCGTCCTTGAGTTGCACGGTATGAAATATGACATTTCTTCCAAACAGAACCAGGACGTGAAAAGTTGTTTATTCGGTGCCATAATCTTCCCCTAGGCATAGCCGACTTTATCTATGGAGCAGAATCTTCTTTTGAGGCCCTTTGTCAAGTTTTGCTTCAAGTCTCACTGAGATACCAGAAATTCGGCCATACTGTATGTAAACCGAGCACAGTCTGCATTTTATCATTATGCACTGCAATACGACAGAGAAAGGAGAGGGTGCAAGAATATCGTAGCCAATAAACTCCAATGTGGAATGTTACTTTGGTACCGCAGATAAGGATACGACAAATCCGATATCCATTTCCTTTTTCGTTCTGCCAGGCCCCTATCAGTGACTAATATATTGTTGATTTCAAATTTCAGACGCCGTATCCAGCGGATTTCTGGCGAGGCATTTGAAATACAAGTAGTAGATGATGATGTCAGTACAGCAGTTCGAAAGCTTCAAAAAGAGGACCCAAAATCGTTCCAGACAAGTATCGACAAGGTTGCTTCTCAATCGGACTCTCAATACAAGCGTGCACTCGAGATATCAACCTATTTCATACAGAAACGCGTCATCAAACACGAATACAATGATATGGTCAACTTAAAATATTTCACTTGTCTTATTGGAGATGAAGCCGAGGCTTTGATCGATAGGATTGAAGAAGGGGCTATTATAAAGAAACCCTCGACATTCACCATCGACACACAATTTATTCTCGCGAGCAGTAGTGTAGTAACTCGATACCTTCCTTCAGAACCTGTTTCTTCAATAAAACGGCTCAATAGACCGACGTGTGGAAGTAGAAATAGTGTCCCTGCCATAGCTGTAAATTGGATTTAGGGTATATACCTTGAGATATTACATGGTATTTTGTTATCTGGGCTTTTCCGGATACTCTATAGCAGAAGACTGGATACCTCTAGTATTAGGTGAATTATTACTTTCCTCCTGCTTTTTCACAACACTTTGTCCCAGCGTCTGGTAGTTACCGCCCATAAGTGCATTTCTGACACGTGCGGCAGTTCAACTCCTACTTTCAAAAGACCAATTACCTTCCACGCGTAGCATACTTTTCTATAGGCCAGAGGTGACCTGCAATTTGGTGTTCTATATAATGTGGACCGTTGCCTTATCGTATCGCTTATATTACAATATATATTATCATAAGAAGATGCGGTTAATTCGCCTTGTTAGCTCAGTGGTAGTGAGTGTGCCAAAAAAGGAAAATTTTTTCTATACCTAACCGAAATAGGAGCGCATCACTAGTAATGATGAGGTCGCGAGTTCAATTCTCTCACGAGGCAACTTCATTTTGGCATTTTGATTTTTATTTCTCCTAGCAGTCGATTTTGGTTGGGTGATTTGTCTGTAGAAGTAACACTTCCCGAAGTGCTAATATAAGTCTTAACGTCGGTTCGCTGACGGTGGCCTTCCTCGGCGCATTCGCTCCTTGTCTGCCAAAGCAAAACTGGCGTAACATTTCTCTTAGCAAAATACACACAAACTTCATCTTTTTAATTTCAACACTCGCCAGATTTGCTGTACAATTATAGCTATCCTAAAGTTTAATAAATATATTTATAATATTTAGAGATACATATTAATTATAAGACATTTAGAGAAGCTATAAAAGATAAATTATTTTAAATAAACTCTTTTAATATTTATTGATCAGGGCCTCAAGCACGCATTACACATCCCTTAGGATCTAGGATATCCTTCAGGATCCAGGATTCAGAGGATTCATATGAGTCAATAAGAGGCCGAATAGGTCTATATAAAGGGGTCCTTACTCCAATATAGCTGTGCTTAATTAGTTGTCTCTGTATCACTCAATAGTCAATATAACTGAGTTTCACCTTGATATCCAACTACAACCTGCGCATTAACATGACCTCTGCTCAAGTATATTTAAACCCTTATTAAAGATATTATGTATGTTAATAATTATTCTTATAAAAGAAGTTAACCTTAAAACTTAATTAATAAAACTGCTGCAAAACGTTCTCGCTCCTATGAAAATGAGGCCTCCGTTGCTAATCCAGGTCTCTGGCGTGGTCCTAGCATTCGGACGCGTCCGAATGCACCTATTGGCCTAGATTCAAATGTTATCTTACAAGGTGCTCCGATACGCCAGGGCATTTTATAGAGCAAGTTTACGTTATTTATTTTGTCAATTATTCCCGAACGCCATACACGCCAGCCATTTTGGACCGTCTACGACCGGCGCATATGCCTAAAGTTCAGGGCATTGGTGCAAATCGTCAATTTCCATTATCTGAAGATTTCATAGGAGGAAGCGTTGACATAGCTTCATACAACGCTTTACATTCTTCTGTTAGCTCATATTTCCAGATAAACGGAGTTTACCAACTCAACGTAAGTATTCTAGTTGACCTCTTTGGCTAGTACAATGAAATGGGCTGTCGATATTACACAGAGATCTGCAATGGATTTGAACGTCAAGTTCGCCGCCTCTGGCGTCGACAGTTCAAAGTCCGGGGAGTAATATGAAGTACAAAGTCTGAATTAAAATTTCAGCGGTACTGGCCAGTGCTATATTCAATCAAGAGGGCTGTTGGCCAGAGTATGCAGGGTCCAATCAATGATATCTATCAGCATAACGACCTGTATAAGCTCAATTGGGACAACGTGGTGAATTCAGCGAATAACAATCGTTCAGTCACAGACCCGGATCTCTTCACTATCAGGAGATATCGCATATGGTGGCACAGCATTCAGAAGCGATTCGGAAACTTGGTGTTCCATGAAGCTGTATGGTATAGTATTACAGTTAAGTCCCAGAGCGCACTTCGGAGTACGCAAGTGTTTATGAGATTATACAGAACAAACGCCCGATCATTTAAACTTACCCCAAGCCCCTGCCAACAAACGCGTCCCCAAGGCAGACTTAACCCGAGTACGACGTATCATTGCAAACACAATTTTGAGCTCGTACTGGATCACAAGCTACAATTGAGGACGGTCGACTCTGGGAAAGTTGACTTGACTGTACCACGTGGGATGTGGACTTGTCATGTGTTTCCTACCTTGCTCAAACGGCTCCAAAAGGACTCCTTTGAGGACTGTTCAATTGCGGATCAGGTCATTAAAAGGTGTAGCACATACCGCACAACTCACGATGTTCTTCGAAGTTGGTGGGAAGATGTCCAGCTAGACGTTCAATGTCATTGGAAGAGTGGAGCTCATCTGCGTCCCCTCTGCGATGGGTACACGACGACGTCACCATCGACCCTGTCAAATGGCACGAGGATAGGCAGACAAGAACCTGTGACAGATATCGCCTCCTATGATACTAATCGTGGTCATTATGTTGAGTGGAGAGAGATTTTGGGTACCTGTGCTACCAAGAATGACACCGATCTCCCGATATCTGCCTGGCTGAATGCCAGCACACCGAGACGGACGTCAGACACTGGCCAGAGCCAACATAACGCAACCTTAGCGCGATGCCGTATCACCAAAGGCCATCTTGCTACTGAAACGTACACATTTAAATTACACGATTCGGATTCCAAAGTTTGCCAGGAGAAAGTTCATGATATGCATCGTCCTGGAAGTTACGGCACCAATGAGCGACTCAAGACTGCTCAAGATTTGTCACGGGGCGGGATGAACTTTGGGTTAACGGACTCTATACCGAAACATGTTCACGAGCAGTTCGAGGAGCATTCAGTACAATCGATTAGCAAATTAACCTATTATGGTCTTTGCTCTCACATGGGTCAAGGATGCAATGGAGAAAGACCATGTGGTCATGTGTAAGGAAAAGCACCTCTTGTAGAGAGCAAGCTCGGCCACTCGCATCTAGTCAATATCCAAAGACTAAATGCCATGCATACTTTAAACAGGGGCAAAGGTGCTGCGGAAGCCGGCCCTGTGGCTTCTGCGCCAAGCATCGTATGCGATGTAGAGATCAAGGGGGTCCTTTGACAGTACCGCAAGATTTGCAGACAAAATGCCACGGACGCTTTAAAAGCGGGTCTAGATGCGACGGAACCCGGCCTTGTGGCTATTGCGTCAAATACAGACGCCAGTGTAGAGACCAAGGGAGAGACCAAGGACCGCCAGCAAAACGAAGGCCATCAATGAATCCGCGGCCAAGCTCTTCTCAAGATCCATAAACGAAGTGCTGCGGATGCTTTTTGAACAGTACAAATGCGACGGACGCCGCCCCTACAGCTCCTGCATTAAATAGGGCCTGGGTAAAATACAGCCTCCGTACTAGGGAATAGTAGAAGGCACAAAGCTACACTTGGTCGCCGAAAGCTGAGAAACAATGGAAAGTGGTAGGAGCAGCCGAAACTAAAATCCGAACGAGAACGCTTCAAAGCACTCGAGATAGGACGAGGGATTTTGCAAATGTTTATCTACGAAGGAAGTTCAATACCAGATGTATCGCCTACATTTGCTAAACTAGGAGAATACTAATAAAAGTTAGGGATTTTATCGAAGAAGGGATTCGGAGCACTTACGCATTCACACATCCATCCTGTTCGCAGTTGTTCGAAATTTGGGCCCACCGCCCCCACACAACTTTGCCAGCACTTGTGACTAGGCCAAGCTCGCTGACATTCACCTCAATGATTGTCCCCTTGGTTAATACGCCTAGTTGTGTATACATTGGGTTTTGGGGGTTCTTCTTGACGCTGATAATCGGTAAGTGAACAGTCACACCTAGTTCCGGATGCTGAATCATATGTTAGTATACCATAACGTCAAAGGGGATCGACTAACTGTGACATTGGCCTTTTTATACCGAAGTCCCATAGGTCGAATAAATCTTTCATATTTGACAGGCCGACGAGTAAAATCCGGTCCTACAAAGGTAGGCTTGGTGATCATACGTTTCCATCCTAAAAAACTCATTAATTATTATACTTTATATCCTGTCCGGCCACGCAGGCCCTGAAGGCACCGCTATTTCTCCGTATAACTGTCTGCAAGCATTCGAGAGCAATCGAAAGGCAATCCTGTGGCCGAACGAGTCTCTTAAAAGGGAAGATCCGACATACCCTTCTTCGCGGTCTTCTTCCCCGTCTTGACGACCTTAAAAATTTCCTCTTCAGCGATTCCTCTAACCCTGGGCAACGGTACAGAAAACTTGGCTGCCTTTTCGTTTCGTTTGTTCTTGACTAATCAGGGTTAGTGGGTGAATCGCAAACTCGGTCTAGTATTCGAACGTACTCGCGCTGCTCAAAGCTTTCGCATTCGTTGGGTTTGATCTATCGAGAAGATATTGAGGGAGAGGAGTAGTCGAAGGTTCGGCTGGTGTAGAAGATCTGAGGAAGAGCAGGGAGTTAGCGCATTACTTCGTTCAAGGCCATCTAAGCAGCGCATAATAAAGAATCAGGAATCAAGACAATCTTGTAAAAGGCCCAAAGACGACTCAAGACCCTGGAAACAAGCTTGTTGCACAGGAAATTAATAAAAAAAATCCTCGACATCTTACTTAAGGCTACGCTCTTCTAGAGCTTTAATTTGCTTTTTCATCTGTATCTTCTCATGATGTCGCTTTTTGTGGTATAGCTTTGCTCGCAGGCCAAGCAGACTCTGGGCCTTATTTGACTCCTTATGGCCTTCCCTCGCCTCTCTTTTGCGTGTTCTTTCCTCGTAGTCCAGCTTGCGCGCTCGTCAATTCGATGTCTTCGTATTTGGGGGCGGGGTCAAGAAGGGTCAGACATACTCTTCTCCCGTGGAGCTTCCTCCACCGTTCCATGCTATTTCAATCAGATTGATGCACAAACAAGACGTGGAGAGCAGCTGTACTTACTATTCATTCTGTGGCATCGTGAAGGACTGCGTACAGCGAGGTTACTGTACACTTAGGTAGGAGGGAGGTTGGTGGTCGCACGAGGTACCAAGTGAAAATAATTTTGACTTCTTGGAGCCTCTCATGCCTGAGGCACAAACCGTAGAAATCTTCAAAGCGATCAAAACACTACCTACCTATTAAAAGATATATCTATATGGACGGTCAGACGCCCCCAAACTCCCCGAGACTAATCCTAACCAACCCTAACCTCTAACCTCCTAACCGTTGTGTTTTTATAGTTATAATTGTCTTTTAAAAAGGCTTCAAAAAATACTTGATGCCTTATTAAAATCTTATGTAATAATTCTTCGCGTAACTATCTAAGAGAGGAAAGGTGGCCGGGATTTAACTAACACTGGCCGGGATTTAGCAGATCCCAAAAATTTATCCAGCCACAACCCCACAACCCCCACCACAAATAAAAATATAAATCGACATTTGTAGTCTAGCGGCCTCGCTGTAACGTAG